TTTTAATAAAAAGTAATATTTGTATAGGGGCTCCTGGGTGGCTCAGTCGGTTGAAAGTCTGACTTCAGCTCAGGTCATGATCTCAGGGTGTGTGAGTTGGAGCCCCGCATAGCACTCTCTCTGCTGTCAGCGTGGAGCCCACTTTAGATCCTCTGTCTCCTTCTCTCTGACCCTCCCCCACTCATCCTCGCTCTCTCTCATTCTCTCTCAAAAACAAATAAAACATTTTTAAAAAGTAACATTTGTACGAAGTGGTGTCAGTCTTCAGAGTCATACTCTCAAACATGAAAGGGAACATTTGGTCCCTTGTCCAGAGCCTATAGGGACAGACAAATGTACAGGGAACCAGAGAAGGTCTACCTGCTAAAGTGAAAAGACAGAGGGGCACCTGGATGGCTCAGTCGGTTGAGCATCCGGCTTCGGCTCAGGTCATGATCTCACTGTTTGTGAGTTCAAGCCCCACGTCAGGACTTGTGTTGACAGCTCAGAGCCTAGAGCCTGCTTCGGATTCTGTGTCCCCCTCTCTCTCTGCCCCACCCCTGCTTGTGCTCTGTCTCTGTCTTTCAAAAATGAATAAACATAAAAAAAATTTTTTAAGTGAAAAGAGAGTTTGCCATGTTAGGTGGGTCATTAGCCCCTTGATGGCTTTTGCTTTTGGGGGCTCCCTGCACTGTGGGTTGTCAGAACCTTTGACATTTGGGTTATCCAGGAGATCAGGGTCCCAGGAAAAACAGGCCGTCACTACCCAAACTCACATAAAACTGAGTTGTAACACACAAGCCCAATTCATGATTTTCGGGGTGAAAGGGCTCCGTTGCGGGGCTAGAATGAGGCTTCTAAGAAATTAGAAGACAGTCACTTGCCAGTGCAGAGAGGGTGACCCTTCTCCCCTGCCTCCAGAAACACAGCCCCCTAAATTTCTCAGCGAGCCACACATTTCCAGTATTTCCCCGTTGCCCTCTGCTGGGACACAGAACAGATAGAGACCGGGCCACACGTGTTTAAATCCTGAGTCTGTCATTACTAGCCCTGGGCCTTTGGCAATTCATTTTATTTTGCCAAGCCTCCATGCCCTCATTTGCAAAATAGATATGCTTCACAAGATTGTTGTGGTAATTAAGTAAAGTAATGTAGGAAAATGCTAGCAGTCTGCTTTGTAGCAGGCAGTCCACAAAAGGCCATTGTTATTTATTTTTGCTTACAGCAACATTTGTGGCTAAGAATCACTAGACTCAAATCCAGAGAGCTCAGTCTAACTTCCATTCTGCCACCTAAATACTCTTGGGAAAAAAGAATCTAACACGGTTTAGAACCTACTTTGTTTTGGGTACGTACTATGCTGGTTCTTTACTTACTTAATTTTTCTCTAAGATGAGGAAAAAACCCTGAAAAGGTATTATTATCCCCATGTTAAGAAAATTAAGTTCAGGAAGATTAATTTATTAAGGTCACAGAACCGGCAGGAGATTGGATTGAGACTTCCACCCAGAATGTGTGAACCTAGTTCTTTGCTCCAAAACCATCAGCCTGAGGTAAGGCTGCCTAGCAAGGCCCCCGAAAACAGAGAGGAGGCAAAGGGGATTGAAGATGAGGTAAAGTGACACATTCGTTAGGGCTCTATTTTTAATTCCCCAAGCTGTGTCCCCAGCTTTACAAGAGGCTATAGTTGGAACCCACCAGGGCAACAGCTGGTACTCAGCCCTCCTTTTGCTTTGTTAGAGTGCTCTGAGTCCTAAATATTAGCTGTCGTCTAGAACCTGGGGAACAGGGCAGCTTTTAGGGCTTTTTATAAAGAACCAATGTTGCCTGTTTAATTCTACAGCATAGCAAATTTTCTTGGCTGCAATTTATAGCTGGAGATTATCTCTCCATTTGAACCAGCCCAGTTCAACCTAGAGGTCAGTCTCTCCATCCCTAGTAGTCATCTGTGGAGACAGGCCTTGACCCTCCCAAGTCCTGAGAAGACAGGAACACACCCAGATTAAATAGGCATTGGGTAACCTGACCTGGTTCAGGCATCCACCATTTACATTGTCTTGGACAAATTTAACATCTCAGCCACTCTCCTGATCTGTAAAATGGAGGGTAACAACACATGTGTGGCGTAACAGGGGTCAATGGCTCGACGTGGTGCTGGCAGTTGGCGAGAGTGAGCAAACACAACCCTATAGTGGCAGCTTCTCAACACAAGGCCAAGAGCCTTAGAGTACTGGGTAAGAGAGGGGGACTTACATCCAGGGCGTGATTATATGGCGATTTTTTTCCCAGAGGGGAGGTACCCAACAAGAGAAGAGGAAAAAAAAGGAAAGCAGAAAGCCTTAGAATCATCAACTTGCCTTCCTGCCCTTCTCCCTGCATCTATTCTCAGCAATCCTCCTGATTTGTGTGATAATAAATGAAAGGAAGGTTGTCTCCTTACTTTATTGACACACCTCATGCACTGATATTCTGGAACTGAGACCAAGAGAAAACTCATTTTTCTCTGTATCTGATCTCAGTTCTTTTTCTCTCTCCCTTTCCTTAGAGTATCTAGCACCAGAAAACCAGTCAAGTAATTGGAAAACATATTTGGGAGGAAAATGTGGGAAGACAATGAACTTCTTCTTAAGGGTAGGAAGGGAGCAAGCTTTTTCCATTTCAGTTGGGAGCATTCACAGGCTTATGAATATTAATACTTTAAAAATTATTAATCAGAGGGGCGCCTGGGTGGCTCAGTTGGTTAAGCGTCCGACTTCTGCTCAGGTCATGATCTCACGGTTCGTTGAGTTCGAGCCTCGCATCAGGCTCTGTGCTGACAGCTCAGAGCCTGGACCATGCTTCAGATTCTCTTCAGAGGATCTCCAGATCCTCTCTCTCTGACCCACACTACTGTGCTCTGTCTCTCAAAAATGAATAAACATTAAAAAATTATTTTTTATTAATCAAAACTTGACTTCTTTCCCCATGTGGTATCTACTCAAAAGTCAAAAGCCCCAGAATTACTAGTCCTAGGAAAGCAGCTGGGACTATGGATCTTTCTATGCTGTCCAAAACCACCAGAGAAAGCAACCAGAATATAGGCTACATTTAAGGGGATCAATTAAAAGATGACAATGATGATTTACTTTAGCTTGCAATCCTGAGAAACGTTCCCAGGATACCATGAACCCTAACTTGAAGCATAATAAAGCGTTCAATAAACGGATTAACTCTAAAAAGTTTCAAGCAGTAATTATGGAAGTTTTAAGCCTGCCCACTAAACCCATGAAAAAGCTTTTTCCAGTGTGGCTGCTTACACACAAACACCCATAATTCCAGGCTAAAAAATGTGTTTTGTAATTGAGGTAAAGCATGGAGACATGTTATTTCCATCCTTTTCATTCACTATTTACATTCACTCTGTGTGTGTGTGTGTGTGTGTGTGTGTGTGTGTGTGTGTGTGTGTACCATTAAGAAAGCACACAGGTCAGGTTGTTCAGATTTAATGATTCCACAGTTTATCACTTGGACACATTGCATGTTTCATTAAGTCTGCTGTTTGTAGATAGTGCAGGTCACCCAGCCTCCCAATCAGAACATTTCATCAAAGTCTCCTGCATCCCAAACCCTCACAAAGCAGATCTCTATGATGACATGAGAAGGATATACATTAGTCCGGTCAGTGGCAAAGCACCGGTCTTTGGGGTCCAAAGATCTCTATAACCAGCAAGAGAAGATGGGGAAAGGAAAAAATAGGGGAACTGATACTGTTTGAACCCAACTTTTCTGAGATCCCCCTTTCCAGATGCCTGAAGCCCCCTTTCCTGAAGTGCAGAATAAACCTACTTACACAAGACCAAATATAAAAAACTGCAGGAAGGAGGGAAAATTATAGTGACGCATGTAGGAAAGACAAGGATTGTGTACTGTAACTATATTAACCCCTAAAGGCAAAATACCCTGGTGACAGTAACCCATGAACACCCTAGCTGCAGGGACATGGAGATTTAGCCAGAATGCTATCCACGGGGCAGCAAGCACTCCAGGCCCTTGGCTGAATTTCCACCACTTTCCTGTGAGAGTCACAGCAATCTTCTGGAATCAGAAAACCCCCCTCCTCTTCCCTGTCCTATAAGGGCAGAAACAGCTGGGGAGGGGGGAGGTTGTAAATCTCTGAGCTATTTCTTTGTATCCAGACAGGGTCAGAGTTTCCCAATCTGACCACTCTCATAAGAAGCTCAGGTTTTTTTCTTAATCAAAGTTCAACGCTGAGGAAAAGACAGCAAAGTCATTCATCTCAGCCCACTCTTAGGCAGACAGGTTAAGGCAGGGTCAAATGTGAGAGACCTAACATATCCCTATCCAGGGCAAAAGCAGGCTACTCAGGAAATCCCGAAGACCGAAGTGGTGCTCAGCGCCCCCTACAGGATGGTCACAGTGATGTGTTTTGTCCAGATTAGGTCGTTATCCAGTCCCAACTAGACCAAGCCTCCCAGTTCCAGGACTGAAGAATGTGTGGATAATAGTGGACAATCTGTCACTATCCGAAACTTCTTGATCCCTCTCCAGCCTGGATTTACGTCCCCAGAAAATTGGGGCAGCGGTGGACCAGACTCAGATTGTGATGAGATGGGGAGTAAACGGCTGGTCCCGAGAGTGTTTAGAAATAACTGAACTCCCTTTGGAGTCACGTTTACTCCTGGTTCTGCATTAGGAGCATAATACTCAAACAAAAAGTCTTATTTTAAAAGATTCTCACCACTTCCCCAACTTTGGCACTTCTCAACCTTCATCTCTCGCCCCCTCTTCCCCTCACAAACACACCACCCCAAGATGTTGGGACTCTTCCAGTATCTCTAGGGCCCCAGGATAATGTGGCATTAATGGCATTTGGCAGAAAAATCCCGTCCCACAATTAAGACTCTCCCATTTCAATACACAGTGAAGAAAAAAATGATAATGTAAGAGAAGAGGCAGCAGAAACCAGTCTGTCCCTTCCCACGTAAGAGGCACAGAAATTTCAGGAGTCAATGAAAATGGCATCATCTCTTGCCAGAAGGCCACCAGCTACCACTGGTTGGGAGACGCATTATCACCTGTTTCTCCTCTGGACTGAAATGCAAGATAGTCAGGATGGCCGTGAGCGTCTGCTGGCGGCCCAAGGTGTCAGGCAAGGTCAGGAAGCGGTAGATGATGTTTTTGAGGTACTCCAGGTTGGCTCCCTCCCTACTCTGGTCCCTGATATTCTTCTCGATGTGGCTCTGCAGCGCTCCAACCTCCTCGCGATGGCGCTCCCCCTCCTCCAGCAGCCGGTCCTGCAGCTGATGCACCTCGACCTCCAGCCTGTGTCTCTGCTTCCTCAGCGATGTGATCTCCACCTCCTTGCGGGCCAACTGCTCGGCATACAGGAAGAAAGTGGGCTCATTGGCCGCAGCCAGCTGCAGCGCCTGGGTCAGGCTGTCTGGGGAAGACGCGTCAGCCGGGTCCCCGGGCCCCCCGCCACCCACGGGGCTCCTGCGCCCTGGCAGCCCGCAGGACAAGGCCACAGAGCGCAGCTGCTCCAGCTCCAAGTCCTTCTCGGCCAGCACGGCCAGGGCCCGGTCCCGCTGCTTGTGCAGCTCCTCCTCCAGCTTCAGCGTGCGGTCCCGGAAGTCCAGCTGGCTGCGCTCCAGCTCCTGCCGGTGGAGGTGCTGCAGCCGGGCCAGCTCCTGCTTCCAGTCCTCAGCCTCCTGCTGGTGCTGGCGCTCGAGCTCCTCGCAGGACAGCCGCAGGGAGATATACTTCTCCTTCAGTTCCGCAAGCTGTTCCTGGGCTTCCTCCAGCTCCTTGGCCAGATTACCGTCTTTGGTGTTCTTGCTCTTGAGGACGACCTGGGCCCTCATCTTGTACCTCTCGAACTCCTCCTTCAGCTGTTTCAGCTCCTGTTGGTAGTAGAGCACAGAGGCCTTCTCCCCGTCGGCAGCCTCGGAGCTGGGCATTATCTCCAGGTCACAGAGCTTCTCCACATCCAGGGTCACCTGGCTTTTCCTGGCTGCAACCTGCAGCAGCCTCTTCAGCTTCTCCATCTTATCCTTCAGGACATTGACATCCAGACTGGACTCCTCTCCATGGCCGTCGAGAGGGGACCGGCTGGAGGCTGCCAGAGCCAGGGTCTTGTTCTCCAGGTCCAGCTGCAGAATGCGCTCCTTTAGCTTCTGGATGGCCAGCTGGTCCTTCTGCTTGGCTTTCTCATAGGTGCCCAGCAGTTCCGACACCTCGGATATTTGATTCTCCAGGGCCGCCACCCTCTGTTCTTCCACCTGAGATTGCTGGCGTAGTTGATCTTCTGCAAGGGCTGCCTGGAAAACAACGGAGCAGATGGAAACGCATCCAGAAAAGTCACAAAGCCCTACGGCAATCTTTGAGAAAGCAAGAGAAGGGAGCAAAAGGGTCATAGGATGGGAATGGCCTGGCAAGAATGGGAACCGGGGATTTTTCTGTTGATGCAGAAGCTAACCAAAGTTCCTATACCCTGCCTGGGTTCTGCTGCCAGAGATATATTCTACCAAACGGTATTTTTTTTAATATAATTTGCTGTCAAATTGGTTTCCATACAACACCCAGTGCTCATCCCAACAATAAACCAAACGGTATTAAGAACCTCTGTGTATCTGCTGTTGTTCTGCTTTAGTGCCTCCACTTTCCCCCATCATACACCAAGCTCGCACATGAAGTGTGTGACTTTTGTTTATCATCTGCTTCCCCAGATCCTACTAAGAAATCACAGGACGTTCTTTTCCTCTCCCAATATTCCCGCAGTTCAAAACTCAGTTGGATCTCTCTCTCTCTCTCTCCACACTGAAAGGAGCACTGTAAAATGGCACACCTTTCCAGAACAGGCAAATTGACCGGAAGCAATTACAAGAGGTGACTTCTGCAAAAATTCCTTTTGCCCCGCCCTATAGGCATACACCACGGACTATCCAAATATAGGCATATACCTATGGTATACACACTACCTTTCACTGCATGGCTGCCACGACACTGCTTCACAGAGCAGGGCTGGGAAGACGCCAATGCCCAGAGGTTCAGAGATGTCTGGCTCCAAACCAGCCTACACTGAGAAACCCCACATCCTGTTGGAAGCACATTCTGTGAACACCGTCAACACCACACAGAACAGATGTCCCAGGGCTCAAGGTGGAACCTTCTGAATGGCATCAAAACCTGATAGCACAGCCCCTTGGTTCTAATTACCAAAGAGGAAAATACCCTAATATTTCCCACTCCAGGCTAACTGACTAATGTTTGGAGCAATAATTACCTTCCTCATTTCCTGCTGCAACTGAGCCTGGAAATGGCTCTTCAGGAAGGCGGCCTCTTCCTGAAGCTCCTGCAGCCGAGGGTCAGGCCGATTCTTCTCATCTCGAAGAGCCTGCAGCTCACCTTTCAAGTCCTCCACCTCACGGGTCAGCTGCTTGGTCTGCAGTTCGAACCCTTCCATCTGACCAGCTGCATATGCCCGCCCCGCCAGGGCTTCTCGGGTCTCTTCTAGCCGAAGCTCCAAGTCCTGGCGCTGGGTCCTCTCCTCCTGCAGCAGTTTCTGGAGCTCACGAAGCATCAAGGCATGATCACTCTGCTCTTGGGCCCGATCATGCTGCTGGGTGATAAGCCGGGCTTTGGTTTCTGCAATCTGGTCCTGCAGCCCCTTCAATTCTCCCTCCAGACGGCCCCTCTCCTCCTCTGCCTTTTTACTGGCATCCTCTAAGTCCTGTTTCATCTTCTTCTTGTCTGCCAGGTAAGACGCTTCCATGCGAGACTTCTCCTGGGTGACTGTAGCCAAAGAGCTGGTCAAAGTAGCCAACTGAGTCTTCAGCTGGTGCAGTCGTTTGTCCACTTCCCCACCCCCAGACGGTCCATCCCCACTGCTACTGCTGACGCCACTCTCCGACCCGTTGGCCTCTTCAGACTTTGGAGGTGGTGGTCCACGAGCCAGTCTGTCATCCTCTACCCCAAACTCACCCTTGGTGCTGGTGAGACTGGCCGCAGTATCCAAGCTGGTGGCGGTCCCAGTGCTATCCTCGCTGTGAGTGGAGCATCGGTCATCTACAGAGTCAGGAAAAGTGAGGCCTGGAGGCTGGACACCTGTGAGGCCCACATCCGCCTCATGGGATACCGACAGCACCTTAATGCTGGCCTCTAGAGCCTCCTTCTCTTTCAGTAAGCTTTTATAGGCACGGACCACATCCTTGAGACGTGCCTGGTACTGGAGAAGCTGCTTCTTCTGCGTCTCAATGGTTTCCAACAGGTCCTTCTTGCTCGGTCCGCCCCCGAAATTCATCCCAAACTTCTCCATGTTCAGAACGGGTTACTCGACGTCAGCGTTCTGGCAGCTCAGAAGAGGGTCGCGAAGACCCTGGCGGGGACAGTAAACTACAAAAAGAGACTTGTCCCCACAGCCGCACGCCCGCTCCTCCTAGCTGTCCGAGACCGGATGCCGGGTACCGTGCAGCCTAGCAGAAGCGCCCGCCAGGTCCCAGGCACCGAGGGCGGGGGCGGGTCCTACCTTAGAGGCGGGGCGACGCCGGGACGAGAGCAGCACACGGCGAGGGCTCGCCTGTACTGTCTCAGAGGCTGCTCCGAGCTCCTTGCTTGCCCGGGTCACAGCAGTCCCAGACGGCCCTCAGCCCACGATCGGCCAAGAGTTTAAACCGAACGTAACCCCATCAAGACTTCCTAAGTAGGGCTGCCCGAGAACGACGCTTCCGGGTCCGCTGGAAGTGACGACACCGCGACGCATCAGGTTCCGCCCCTAGTGGGCGCGAGGTGGGTGGGGCTATTTCGCCGGGGGAGTGGGAGAGAGCCGGTTCAGAGCGTAGCTGCGCTTTGAACGCAGGGCCGCGAAGTCAAAAACTCGGGAGTGATTATGGTTTGGTGGAGTACCCTAGGATTACGATGAGCGAGAGAGAGTGGGTAACATGGCACTAAGTCCTTACCAAACACCCGGATGAGCGACGTGTCCCCGCATTTGCGGCTCAACACCTTTGTCTCTAAAGATCAACAATTAAGACTCCCTTTTAGAACACGAAAACTTCAACCCTTGACGGGACAGTTTTGGCAACTCCTAGGCATCTAGTATAATTATTAGCACCCTTCCTGAGTTCTGTTGTGTTGATTCAACAAATACATGTAGACGGCACCCTATAGCCAAGACCTCCATCCTATGTGCCAAGTATATTTCAGAACCTTCGCAAGAGTTTTGGTATTTAGCCCTTACAATTGTTCTGCTCAGTGGGTGCAAACATGAGACACAGAGGCTAAATAACATGCCCAAGGTCACACAGCTAGGAATTCTATCTATATCTGTCCAACTCTCAACATACCAAACGCTGCTCCTGGTGATTACCATGAAGAGACAAGTTTCTGCCCTCACGGATCCCCCATCTAATGAAAAACCAGAGGTGCAAACACAAGTCCTGCTCTCATGACTGTATGTTTGGGTTTATTCAAAGTGGTATGGGAGTTAGGAGGGAGGCCTGTCTAGAGGAAGAAGAGAAGGTTCTCAGGGAAAACACTTGGGTTGTTGAAGCATGTGTAGTGATCTAACTAAACATGAGGGAAACAAGCATTCCAGGCAGAGGAAAATGATTGCAAGGACTCCTAGGGCATCAGAGAGCCTGGCTCACCCAGGAAGCATTGAGAATCACTTCATGGCTGTAGCTTAGCGTGAAGGAGGTGGCAATAGATGGGGCTGGCCCAATAGATAGGTACCTAAATTAAGGCATTTTTAAATTTGTTTTAATTTTTTTAATGTTTATTTACTTTTTGAGAGAAAGAGAGAGAACAAGTAGTGGAGGGACAAAGAGGCAGAGGGAGACACAGAATCTGAAGCAGGCTCCAGGCTCTAAGCTGTCAGAGCAGAGCCACACATGGGCCTCGCACCCACAAACTCTGAGATCATTACCTGAGCCGAAGTCAGACACTCAACCGACTGAGCCACCCAGGCACCCCAAGGCATTTCAATTTTTATCTTGAGTGCTAAGACACTAAAGGATTTTAATATTGAGTAGCATCATCAAGACTTGTATGACGGGGTAAAGATACCAAGGGGCAGGAGACTGATAAGGAGGCTATTTCTGTCCTGAGGAAGAGATGATAGTGAAATAGGGCAATGACAACAGGGATGGAGAAAAAAGAGTCTAATTAAAAGAGCTAAAGATTGGGGTGCCTCAGTCAGCTAATCATCTGATTCCTGATTTCAGCTCCGGTCGAGATCTCACCATTGGTGAGATCAGGCTCTGCATCAGTCTCTGTGCTGACAATGCAGAGCCTTCTTGGGATTCTCTCTCTTCCTCTCTCTCTGCCCCTACCCCCTCATAAATAAATAAGTAAGTTCAAGATGTAAAACTGACCTGACTCAGTTCTAGTTGTGTTATTATATTGGAACTCTTTTAAATGCACTCTTCAAAGCTTGTAAAAAGCCTTCTTAGGAATGCAAGTATATGGCTAAAGAGTAAAGGAAAGTCTTAGACTCACTCCTACCTGGTACCCAAAGTGTATTCTATTTACAGACTTTTAAGGTCAGTTTGGGGCAGACCCTGGAGGTATTTTCAGACCCAATTTCTTAGTGGCCCAGATAACATCCACCTGAAACATACAGAACATACAGATAGTCTCATAATTTTAATATTCACCATCACCTCATGAGATAGGGCAGATATTGGTCTCCTTTTACAGAAAATAACAAGTTATGAGGATTGTTGAAGCCAAACCCTCAAAAGGGGGGCGCGGGGGTTGATATTTGAACTGAGACCTGGAACAATGGTACATAGTAGGCATTCAATATTTGTTGAATAGGTGAATTAATGAAGGTTCGCTGATTCTCAGCTCACCTCACCATGTCCAGTTCATAAGCAATTGATTCCAGAAGCCAACTGGCAATCCAGTTTCAAATCGCTTGTCCTTGCTCCAGTGAGCATCCTTTTAGTCCGTTCAAACCAGCAAGTATCATATTTGCTAAGCATTATTATGTGCCAGGCACTGACCCAGCCTCTCTCATAGAAGAAACTTAAATTCCTTTCCTGCTATTTCCCCTCTGTTGCTGAGTGGGGAAATTACTTCTGAAGCTCTTGGAGTCTAGGGCCACAAGAGTCTCATAAAATCCTGGATAGGTGTGCATTAAAAATCCGGGTTCTCAGGTCTGTGGGAAAGTAAAGAAGCTTCAGAAAAGCTGCGTGGATCAACTGAAAGGTGTTGTGTCTGGAACCATGGAGGCGAAGGTGGAGTTCTCCAGCACGCAGGAGAAAGTTCTGCTTATTGGAAAACCAAGAAGTCCAGCTAGCACTAGGGCACCTTCTTTTTCCACCTCCGGCGCACTCCTCTCGAGATTCTAGGGTCACTTGAACCACCTGCCACGTTCAAAGCCTCTCTCTGGGCGCTGAGAGGGCCAAACAGAGGAATAGGATACTTGCACCGACCTTCCGCTCCCCTCGGAGGGTGGTGCATACAGTCGATAATGCTAATTCGCAAAAGCTACACCGGAGCGCAGGGTGGGCTGGACGCGACAAACCAAAGCCGAAAGGCCGGCCACTTAAGCTAGGGGTCGGGGGCCGTGTGGAGCACTGTAGACTTTCCTCGACCCCGCTCGGGCTGCCATGAAGCAGCCATAGACCTGCCAGCGCTCTTGAAACGGAGAGACCCAGACCCTTCACTCTTTAAAGCCGGCGCCGGATTCAGCAAGGATGCGGAGACTCGCTTAGCTTCAGAATTTGCCGGAGAGGTAGCCTGGGGGTGGGGAAGGGGCGGGGAGGGGGCGGGGCCCTGGCGGGGGCGGGCCCGCGATGACGTAGGGCGGACCGGGACGCGCGGAGGCGGCGGCGGAGCCTCCTCCTTCTGCTGCTGCGCCCCATCCCCCAGCAGCCGGCCGGTTCCAGCCCGCACCCCGCGTCCGTGCCCGCACCCCCTCCCCCGGCCCCGCCATGGGCCTCACCGTGTCCGCGCTCTTTTCGCGGATCTTCGGGAAGAAGCAGATGCGGATCCTCATGGGTGAGGCAGATCAAGCGCGCGCGGCCCGGACCGGAGCGTCGGCCCCCGCGGAGTCCTCCCGCCCCCGCATCCCTCCGATCCCGGCTCAGTCTGGTCTCTGACCCTGAGTCACCCACCTCCTAACCACCCCCACCCCCCGCCGGGGTCACTGTTCTCGGGCGGCTTGCGGTCTGCAGCGCCGACCCCGGGGCCTGGGCTTGGGAGCTGCGGGCCTGGGTGGGGTGAAGCTCCCTACGCCCCAGCCCGGCTGGTAAGAAGGGAGGATTCCGCCCTTGGAGACGACTTTTAAAAGGAGCGTGGCCCTCCTCTTATGCCCTTTACCCACTAGCCCTCTTCAGCCCCTCGCCCGCTTTGGGGCTGGAGTTGGTGTTCACCATCAATCAGACCGCCCTCAAGGCCTCGAAGGCAGATAACAGCGCGCACCTGCAGGCGCAGGGGCTCTCCGCCCCCGTCTCCATCGGCTGTCCTGGCCTCTCCCCTTCCCTGGTCTCTAGAGGGCTCCCTCGCTCCCGTCTCCAGCCCTCTGCCCCTCTCCTTTGCAGTTGGCTTGGATGCAGCTGGCAAGACCACAATCCTGTACAAACTGAAGTTGGGGGAGATTGTCACCACCATCCCCACCATAGGTGAGTTCTGAGGCGAGCCTGGGAGGAGCGGGAGGCTGGCGGCAGGCCTTCTCTGGGTCTGCTCGCGATTCTGCCTGAGGCCCTTATCTCTGTGCAGGGGCTGACCCTGACACTAGACACGGCTACCTGAGAAGTGGGTCACAGTTACCTTTACTTGCTGGATAGTGCCGAGGCTGGGTGAATGTGACCTAGCCCCACCTGGTCTGTGGACTGCAGGTCCTCTGGGGTTCTGTTCCCAGCAGACTTGATCGTTTCCTGGTTTTAGGTCTCTGATGACTCTACATAGATTTAGTGAGTTCCTTTCTTTCAGGACTTTGTTTTCATTTTTTTTTTTTTTCCCAATTATCTCCAGGCTTCAATGT